GGGGGGGGCGCTAGAAAGAACCGTTCTCTTGTTGGCAAAAAGTTCTTATCAATATAAAAAAAATGACCTAGGCTCTCTGCCATATTTGAAAGGGGTCAAAAAAGAGGGCAAAAAAGAATCTCCCTTTAAAATTGTTGGATTCGAGTCCGATCTGAGAATATCATTCCCAATGAAACTATCGTCCTACGTAGTTCGATCCAACTCGGCGGGGACTCTCGCTGAATACGATCAGATTTATTGAATGGCACGCCTTCTCTTGCTCCCAACGTACTCGTATAATCGCCATCTTTTTTGTTTTCTACTCAACGCTAGGAGGTGGCCAGTTAATCTTTTAATCTGATTGCATTTAGCGAGAGTCCCCGAGGGGTTGGATCGATCTACGTAGAACGATGCATTTATTGGGAATGGACCCTTAGAGAGTGTAACACTTTGGCACCAGTGGACACGCTAGAGGGTACTACAAACAAGACTATTACCCCCAGGTATGACTGAACCTGGCTTTAAGTCATCTTTGAATAATCATTTACGAAAAAATGATGTGATGGCATCTTCGAACTCCAATTTAGGGTGTGACGGGCATCTACAGACAAATAAGGGTCATTTGTTCTTTGTAATGAAACAATGGGAATGCCGTGCATGACTGAACGTCATATGCTCAGAAAATCTCCCGTTTGGCTGCCGCCCGCCATTCGGAAAGGGGTCGGGTGCGGACACACTGCCCTTGATCTATACCCGTACTAATAGAACAGAATTACGATGCTACAAAATACGAATGAAGATGTGAGCCACTAGAAAAACCTAGGTCGATAAAGAACCACTAGGCCTCGTACATAGTCTGCGAAAATACAGTGGTTTCAACCTACATGTAGTAGAAATATTTAGAATTTTATAATTGAGAAAGTTGGTAATGATATGTCAGAGAAATTCTGCCTTTGTTTGTAGAGATGAGAAGAAAGATGTGGGCCATATTTTTCTATGCATATACAGCATAACAAAAATTATGTGAAACGCTAGATTGGTGAAAAAAACAAAACGGATTCCCTGAACCAAGCTTCAAGTTCTTCAATTGAATTCCCTTCTTTACTTTTTTATATCAAAACAAAATTTGAAATAGAAAAAGTATACTTCAAAAATGAAAAAAAACTTTAGCTATGTTATTTCTTGTCAAAATGGAGATACTGGAAATCTATTCTTGACTTCTTGTTTTGCTCGCCATATGCCCAACCATTGTCTAGGCTGTTGACTTTTATACGTTCTTTTTACATATAACCATTACAGTGTTACGTACGGTTGGTTATTAATTATTTCATTGTTGATGTGATGTTCACCAAGCTGTAACTTAACGTTGTGATTATTTGTAGATTATCATTTTCTTTAAGTGCCGTCCGTGTGCATTTTTTCTTTTTTTTTTT